ATTAATTTAGTATTACATCTTTAGAATATACAGGTAATGTCAAATCATGAGATAATTATTACATAATTAGTTTTATTAATAATAGTAATATATTTAGGCTATACTCCATAATCAGCAAGATTCTTTCAGTAAGTCACTCAGTAAGAATAAGTTAAATACTTTGGAAACTAATTAACTTTGTCAGACTACTAAGCACCATTTAACATACTAAAGTTGTGATTTACTTGGTGGCAGAAATTGACCTAAATGAGAAAAATCCAGCTCTGCAATTTAAAATTATGGCAGTTTTGGGGATCTCTGCAACTTCCACTTTATAGTAGGCTTCACCTGAGTAATGCTCATACAGCTATTTAAGGAAAAGACACTTATTTAGATTGTTATCCCTGATTATCATGCTATTGTGACCATGACCATAGGTTGTTTATTTCTGGGTGTTGGGTGCCTCCACTGAGTGGAAACAATAAGAACTATGTGCATGCCAAAATTAATAGATGCTAAATTTTAGAGCACCAATACAATTTCTCTTAAAGTTCTTTCATGAAATTGGTCTTGATCAATTTTACATATGGCATTTTTACAAATTCCACAATTACAAATTAAAATTATAGTTACTAATTTTATATAATAGTACACAAGGCCTGAAATTAGAAGTCATGCTTATTTTGTCTTTTTCCTTCTTAATCACTGCCAAGACTTCATCACTTTTGTTTTTTCCCTACCATGTCTATATTTAAGTTTTAAAAGTCCAAAGAAAAGAGACTAAATGAGATTTTCAAATGTTGGTCTTTATTTAGAAAAATCTATATTATACCTGATTTTTTTCTAAGGAAATGCTGATATTCCTAGTATTATTCTCTGCAAAAAAACCAAAAGAGCAAATTAAATAAATTTGCATATGCCCTGCTTTTTATTGTGAGATGAATTTTTATTCCCTCAGGAAACCCTGTTTAGTTATTTACTTGGGGAAGATGTCTGAAAACCAAGACATATGCCATCAATTGTTAAAAACCTGTGAAGCCAATTTTATTTTATGATATCATGTCTTTATGGCACTGAGACTTATCTTTTAATATTTCTGAATGTTCATGACAGGTTCTTAAATGTCACAAAACAAACAGTGAATATTTTTACTGACTGCTGAAAATTATTTGCTACAAAATATATAGCAAGTGGTGACAGTGTAAAATACCATGTTCACAATCTAAAATGCTAATTTTTAAGACTGAAATTATTTAAATTTCAATCAATATTTTGGTCGACTTATAAATGCAGCTAAAATGACAGAGAGGCCATAGGTTGGTAAATGAGTAGAAAACAATACTTTAAAGTAATAATAAAAATACAGGTATAAATTATTGATTATAGGAAATCTGAAATATGTTTAAAGAATTGTTTTTGAAATTTTCTTACTATCAGTGTTTCTACATCTTCTGTAATAGCATTTATTCTGCCTCTCAAGATACTTTACTCAGTTATTTCTCCTATATTTTTTCTGATAATAAAATCCTTGATTATATTCCAAACCACAACCATCTCTCTGCATTACTCAAATGGTATGGCCAATAATCATTCAGGAAAAAAGGATTAGTGGCTGGTCTATAATTTTCTTCCTTCCTTGAAGACACCTCAGGAGAGGTGTTCTAGTCAAATCACCTTCTAAACATGCTAACTGAATCTTTTGATAGCATTTATTAACAGAATATTTTCTTCTATAGGGAATGTTTTTAGCAGGGTATACCTGGTCTGTCTAGGTTACTTTTGACAAACACACCAGGAATTTATGGATAAGTGGGGTATGGTACTCTGGAAAATATTAGAATTAAATATGGAATTATTAGAATAATAATTTCATGATTGTGCTGGTTATAAATTCAATGCTTCTCAGCAACAAATGTATATTTTTAGACAGTTCTGTAAAAATGGATTTGAGTCATTTTAAATACTTGTTTCTCTGTGCCAGCTGGCAGATAGTTTTGTCAGTAGAGGGCAATGCAGCAGAAAATAAGTTTTGTTTCTCATTTTGGACGTTTGCTTTGTAGGTTTCTGAAGTGTTCACAATTTCTCTAATGCTTAAGTTTCTCAGCACGTGGATGGCAGCACTACTTGGTAGCCAGAAGCTTTCTTGATACCTCTAATCTCTGGAGAGGTTTTGAAAAAGAGTGACCTTTTCCCAGTGGCTAACTCCTGTAGTACATTGCAGCCAGCTGCACTCCCACTCCTTAGCACTTCTCAAACCTTGGGCTCTTCCACAGTGCCTGGACCCTGCAGAGCACATTGGCTAGCAGGACTGCACAGTAAACAGCTTTAGCCAGTACCTCAGATGGTGAATTTCTGGCAAGTTCTGGAGGCCATATTTCCAGCAGGTTCTGCTAGCATGGCATCACAGAACTTCTCTGTCATCCAGTGAGCATTAGCTGTGCTCTCTCCAACAAAGTTGAGATTTCAATTCTGGGGATGTAGGTCCTTCCTCAGGTACCTTATCTCAGTCCTAGGATTAGTGAAAGCTCCTTAAATTTGTTATTTCCATGTTTTTATTTGTCTTTACTTTGTCCTTGCCCATATCTCATTACCTAATCACATATTATGATTAATTATTCTTTATATTAAACCTTCCCTGTTCAAAGAACTGTGTGTGGTTTTCTTAACTAATTGAGTACTGAATGATGCAATAATCTAACTAACTCTCTTTATGAAAGTGATGCCCCGATTATATCATGTGGAAACTTATATGTTAAGTTTGGACCAGTGCGTATCTTAATATAACCAAAAATATCCTAGTAGATGGATTGGTGGTCTCAGACTATTCCACGTTTTGCCTGTGTATTGCAATAACCTGTAACCTTTGATCTATTGGTAAAGTTTGATTAGGAGGAAGATATCTGATTTTTGTGAGTCTTATTTTACAATTTATCCCTTTATGTTATTTCTCTATACTATAAAATAAATGACAAACCATCATAAAAAATTACATTGTCAACTACCAAAAATAAGACAAAGGGACAAATATTCGCTGTAAATATATATTATAAAAGCATTTTAGGAAGAGTACTAGTATGTTCTAAAGAAAATGTTTCATGGCTTAAACAAAAGAAAAGATAAATTTGCAAAATTTGGGTAGATATTATGATATATAAATGTATTATATCTTCACTTAGCTCTAAAGAATCCTTTAAATTTGGCTGTTATAAAAAAAAGCATTATCAGCTCCAGGTACTATACTAACATCTATTCTCCATTTTTCACTCACACAAATATACTATTAAAAATATGCTATTTTATTGTAAACTTGACATTTTTAGCACTTATTGAAAGTGAGGATAGGTAACCAAACAATTGTATAAAGATGAATTAATAATGAAACATCATGACTGTAGTATTTAATAAAAAGTAAGGAATAAAACATATGGTTAAAAATCAAGGAATATATATTTTAAATCTTTCCTTATTTTTAACTCACAAATAGTACACCAAAAACTTACTGTGTTGTTCTGAAGAATCAATGAAACAATGCAGGTAAAAATTCTTTAATTATTTTTTGTTATACAGACCACTCCAACCAATCTACAAAACAACTAGTTCTAAAATTATGGTGGCTTATGAAAACAAAGGTTTAGTTATTGTTCACATTATCTGCCCCAAACTGGGCAACTCTCTGGCTTCTCCTTTCTCCAAGACTCAAGCTGAGTGAGTGGCCAGCAGCCTAAATATTGACATTCTCCCTTGCAGAGTAAGAGAGATCTATGGATATTCTTATATGCACAATATAATGCTCCAGTTTAGAAATGCCACTTGTTACTCTCCCTAACAACTCATTATATAGAGCTAGTTGTATATCTCCCTCACTAAAAGAGATACAGAAAGTGCTATCATTTCAGGGTTCTGAAATACAGAAGTAAAAACTATATAATAAGAACAATAAATTCTGTAATCTACTCTCTGGTCACAAAATATTTGTCTCAGTTTTGAGCTCCAAACAAAATAAACTCACCTTTTTCATCAAGAGGCACCTCGAGTACAGAATCTTTGCATGATATGTAATAGGCTTTATATCAGGTAAACCTGATCCAGATATCTATAAAATGAAAAGACAAACTATTAGGTGCCCCTTGAGCACCTAATATGCGATATTAAACACTCCTATTCGAAAAGAAGGAGGGAGAGTGGAAAATAAGCAGAAGTCACTGATTTGTAGCAATACTGACATCTTCCTAAGCAGTTATTATCACGGCTCTTCATTTTGGATAGGGAATGCTCCTTAATTGGGCCAAGTTCTCCTCCCAAAGAGTGTGTGTATGGGAGGGTCACTGCATGGTGTTTCCCCATAACTTCTGTCTCTGCCTTCTAAGGTTTCTTTTTCCATTCTCCATTCTTGCTTGGCTAAATTTGAAGTACACTTTAAAGAACATGCTCACTTAGGGGGCAGTTTTCTTATATTTTTTCACTGAGTTATATACACAGTTCTTTTTGAGAAGGTTTTTTTTTTAATTTTCTGTATTTCTCTGCTTTTTTGCTCATATGCTTTTTTCTTTTGATTTGTTATGATAATGTGAGCATATAAATCTCTGGTGAAAAAAACACACATTTGTTCTTTGAGCCAGTTTATCCAAAGGTTGTGGTGTTTCTAGTCAGCACCACAACCTTTAAAAATGTAGGTTGTTTTCACTCTATAAAATATAAAAGTATATATTTCTCCACACATATTTTGACATGTATATAGGATAATATAACGAGGTATTAATAATTGCCAATAAGTTATACACAAATACTACACATTTTATGTAAGGGACTTGAGCATCTGTGGATTTTGGTATCTATTGGGGGGAGGAGCGGGTCCTACAACCAACTTCCCACACCTACCAAGGGTCGACTGTACTTCAATGAAATAGAGTAAGCAAAAAAGAATAATTATTTAAAGAGAGCACTTCATTGTTGAAAAGCTTTTATTTGTTCTCCCCAAGAAAATGTTCTAAGACAAATTTTGTATTTATTATTGTCATTTCTAGTCCTCATTGATGGTGGAGTAAAATGAGGAAAAAATTGATTGTACCAAGATCAATAGGTTTTATTTGGGGTTTATGCAACCTGGAGATGGTTGAGCAAATCTGAAAGAATAAAAATAATGCTGAGTATAAAAATAATCAGAATGTTTAATTACAGGTTACATTAAATGTTTTCTTTGTGAATAACATATTTTATATTTAATTATAATATTACTATACTGATGAACTCAAAAATATAATGTTCTTTTTAAGCTCCCGTTGAGTTACAGTTTTAGGGATATTCAAGTATCCACCTACCTACTCATCATTTTCACTTGAATGTCTTATATGAAACTTAAACACAGTATATCATAACAAAAACTCTTTATACTATTCTCCAGTACTTGCTTTTAGTCAAATAAATGATGTTTCTCATGTCTGTAAATATCGCCAACGTTTGCCCAATTACTGAAGGCCAAAACCTAGGAGTTACAATTAAATCTTCAACTCACCCTCCTGAAATTTTGACATGAGGGACCAAGTGAAGTGAGAATAGAAGCTTAGATGCTCTTTCAATAATGTTTCCCTTTTTAAAGTTAATGATGATTTTGGTAAATTGTAGGAAATTAAAATTTCCAAAAGATTGCACCCCTTGAGTATATTAGTTTATTCAGCTTATATAATTGAAGGAATGTTCAAAGACTGGAGTGTGAAGACAAATTGCCTTCAAACCAGAAGAAAAACCTAAAATAGCCCATAGAAAAGGCATCTCTTTATTAAATTTGATTTAATTCAGGCTTTTCTGAGTGAGAATAGATATCTGTTTTGGGATCATGCCTGTCCCCAAAGGATCAGCCACACAAAGCTGTAATCATACCGAAAAGCAGTTGAAGGAGGGGGAGCAGGAAGAAGAAAGAAAAATATACAATATGGCAGATGGAGAGTTGTATAGGCGGTATAGGTGTGGGCAATTATATTCCAACCAGAAATAATGCATAGATAAATGAATGAACAAATAAATAAATAAATGTAGTACAAATCGATAGAATCATTAACTCATTTAGTTGGATGAGAGGAATTGAATAGTGCAAAGATTTTCCTAGGTCATATATTTGAAAGGACTTTCCAGCATTTACAGATCATACTCATATACGACTATTTTAAGGCAAAGGATATAGGCAGCAAAAGATTGACAGCCCTGAGTCCCTCTTTTAAACCATCAAAATCTGTTTAATAAATTAATGTAAACAAGAAACTGGTTAGGCAGTGTGCAAATCATTGTTAAGTACACGCACCTTAAGGGTCCTCTGGGGAGTTTCAGGCTTTAAGAACACATCATAAATCCACTGTCCTTATTTTAGCCCAGATCTAAAGACAGAGCATTTTCAGTTAGCTATAAATCGACTCCATCTCCTCAAACAGCCTACTAATTTTCCCCCTTTTAAAAATGTTTATTTATTTATAATTGATAAAAATTATATATATTCAACTTGTACCACACATTGTTTTGAAGTATGTAAACTTTGCAGAGTGGCGAAATCAAGCCGTTTTACATATTTAAAATATTAAGAGACCAAATAATCATATTGAACATAATTTAAATATATTACTTTGTTTAAACATATGTGTATGGTGGATATTTTGTTATGTTTTTTTTCTTTTTTTTTCTCTCAAAGTATTATGAATGTACAAATATTTTTGGTTACATGGATCATTTTTATAATGCTTGAGTCATGGTTTTAAGATATTCCTCATTGTACCCATTAGGTAGGTTTTTGCCCATACCATCCTCCCTTCTCCCCCTTGCTTTATTTCTGTTGAGTTTTACTTCCCTCTGTGATGTTGTTGTCTTTTTTAACAGTTTAGAAATCATCTAGTAAGGATCTACAAATTAAAACTCCAGTAGTTTATTAATTGGATTAACACAGATAAGTAGGAATTTCAAATTTTCCCACAAAAATATTAATTTCAAAAGTTGGTCTTTGTATTAAATGCTAATGAAAGTGACACATATTTTTTATTTTCCAAATATATATGTATTTATACACACATATATGTGTATTTATTTTATGTTATAAAAATTATATTTAGATTTTATTTTTTAGAGCAGTTTTGAGTTTGGTACAAAATACAGCAGAAAATAGAGTGATCACATATTCTCTATTCCCACACATGCACAGCTTCCTCCACTACGGATATTCCCCACTGGAATAGTACATTTGTTAAAATCAATAAACCAACATTCACGGGGTATTTACATCCAAAGTTCATAGATTATATTAATCTTCATTCTTGGCGTGCACTCTATGAGTTTTGACAAATGCATAATAATATGTGTGTACTGTTATGATATCTTACAGAACAGCTTCACTGCCCTAAAATTCTTCTTTTACTCATCTGTTCATTTCTCCCTTCCCTTTAATCATTGGTAACAATTGGCCTTTTTACTGTCTTGATAGTTTTGCCCTTTCTAGAATGGCATATACTGTAGTTGGGATTTTACAGTATATAGCCTTTTTAAATTGGCTTCTTTCACTTAGTAATATGGATTTATGGTTCCTCCATGTCTTTTCATGGCTTGATAGCTCATTTTGTTTAGCACTGAATAACATTACATTGTCTAGATATACGAGTTTATTTTATCCATTCATGTACTCAAAGACATTTTGTTTGCTGCCAAATTTTGGCAATTATGAATAGGCTGTTATATGCATCTATGTGCAAGTTTTTGCATGGACATAAGTTTTCAGCTCATTGGGGTAAATACCCCAATGAGTGTAATTTCTTAATTGTATGATGAAGAGTAATTATGTTTAGTTTTCTTAGAAATAACCAAACTGTCTTCCAAAGCGGCTATATCATTCTGCATCCCACAACCAATAAGAATCATTATGGTATTTTCCCCTTTCAGTTAGAGCTGAAGCTGCTAGAAACCTGAATGATAACATTCTCCTAATCATAGCTTAAAATATATTTACATGTGTCTGCAAATAATTTGTCTTCTTTTATTTTCCTTTATCTCCCCTTTTCTTCATTTTTTTCCTTTGGTCTTGGCTGATAAAAGATAATGAAGGATATAATTTTAGGGTACATTAAAAATCACAAAGTATGGAGTTAAAAATGTAGGAAGGAGGATATTATCTCTTAATCTACTAACTAGATCACAGAGAGTCTGGTGTTCTGTACTACTTGAATAATTTTCTTCTTGAATTACAGATAAATTGGTATCTTAAATATTCTTTATGAGATTCATATTTTCCATTAAAACATCTTTTAAGAGATACAGAGTTAATGTGGGAGAAATTCCTAGAGAAATAACTAACAAGAAGGATTTTGAGTAGCCAATTTCTTGCTCTGTTTATGATGCATTACATAGTCTGGACAGAGACAAATTGCCAAGTTGTAGTATTTCTCTTTAGGAAACCAGTTCCCCAAATCAATAAAAAAAAAGCCTTAGTAGAGATTAATATAATTTATTAATAAAAAGAGATAGATTTCAATAGCAGAAAGAGTTAAACACTAAGAATCTACCATATCCAGGTCAAAATCCTTGACAGACTATCAATTCAGACAGTAAAAAATTCTGGGAAAGAAGCCAAAAGAGATAGTACCAAGATAAAGAGCCGTAAACCTTAAGAATTAAGTTCTCTCTGCTTCTAAAGGACATCCTTACTTATCCTGCTCTTTGAAATTTAAGGATATTTGCCTTAAAAACTCTGAGCAAATGCTAGGTATCTATAAAGGGTTAAAGGCAGCAAGTCTTAATCTTTTCCTCTAGATTCATTATAATATCAGAAATGTCCAGAGGGATCCTAGACTGTATGCCGGACTTCAGGTATTCTGAATGAGATAAAGGTTTTTAAAAATCATGAGATTGCAATAAAAGAGAAAGACTGCTGAAAGTAATAGAGGCAGTAAAGGGACATAAATCTGAGTTTGCTAGGTTGAAGAAACTGGGAATGTTTTCATATTTCCCTGGGTGTGTTTTGGAATTAATTTATACAACTGTTGCAAAAATACTATTCGTGACTAAATAGAGCACATAGAGTACAAGCCATTGCTAATTGGGATTTCTAAATGGGAGATCTCAGAAATCTGAACCTTCATCAAAATTCTAACTTTCAAGGAAACAATACTGAGTAGCAGAGTTAGTGAGTAAAGTTAGCATAATATAGAGGAAGAAGTGATCTAATCCCCTATTTATGATTTAATTGTCTACATAACAACTGAAAATTACCTTTGGATATCAAAAACTACATGAGGATGGATCATCTGTGAATGTAAGTACACCTGCTATATAGCATTTATTTTGAAATAACTTTCTACATTCCAATTTCTCTGTTATGAAGTCAATGTTCTGGGAGATGCATTAACTTCTAAACAAGTACATGTTGGCAGCTAAAAATCGTTTCATGTTATTTTGGCAAAGCAAAAACATTCATATTTCCTTTTTTGTTACTGGACTACATAAATATATCAACAGTTTCATAATCTGAAAAAAATAGACTTTAAACAGGTGGACTTTGAAGTTGGGTTCTTTGGGAAATGGAAGATGAGACAAAGGTTTATATCTGGGAGATTAATTGGGAATTACTCTTTTGATGAACATTGTGGAGAAATGAAAGAAACAAAATTGATAATACAAGAATTTGAACTTAAATTAATTGTAACGTAGGTCTCAAGTAATCAAATTGAGAGTTCTGAGGTGGGGATGACCCTACAGATTTGTCTTGTACTGAAGCAAGGCAACTTGCCTTTTTAGATACATTGCATTCACCAGTCATGGAATGCTGGCTTCTTGGGTAAGAAGATATAACATCAAGCAAGAAAACATTCTTCAGAAGAGAGTAATTCCTGGAGCAAGGCTCAGATGACAGATGTCAACTGTTAACACTCCCATGGCCTTTGGGAAATGAATGATTTCTTTCAGTAGCATGGGATGTCTAGGAAGTCCCAAGAACATTCACTATAGACCATCTCTTGTGTGCCTTGGAACCACTCAGCTGTATAATATGTCAGGATATATATTTTCAATAATTTTGCTCAGTAATTATTCCTGGAGCACTTACAAGCTGATGTTTACTATGATTAACTAAAGTCCCCACTGCTATACCTGGTTGGTATTATATTCCTGTAGTTAAACACTTGTAACTGCAACTGATACCTATGTTATCCCTAGTCTACTTCCAAGTCTAGATTTCCTTTGTGTTTGGCTTGCACTTCTACTAGTCTCAGAGGTTTCTCTGATATCTTAATTAAGAATTTTATCCCTGAGTGGTCTTAGCCTGTAGTCAATAAGTACTTCTTAGACCATGGTTACTGAACTTCCCCCTTTACTGTCACAGTTGAGCAAACAAGAGATGCACAAGTAAGTTGCTTGAGAGCTTGAGTGTGCAATATTAGTTCTACTGTCTCTTGATGATCAACGTTACTTACCCCTGAAAGGAAAGTGACTCATTTCCTTACCAACAGATCTCTTGGAATGGGGATCCTGAAGTAAACGAGCTACAGCCATAGCTTAAAGTTTAATTGGACTCTTGTTATGTCCCTGAATAAAAGCATTTTCCTTCTAATAGCAAGATCCCTAAAGACAGCTCTTAGTTGTGTAGATGAAAAGGACAAAATCCCTAGTTATGTCCGTGGGAAACACTGATAAGTAAGACCACTCCTACTTATGCCCCCTGGATTGTAAACGCATGTATTCTATAATTGTCAATGATTTAGAATACATCCTTTATCCTGGCATACATTATCTATCATTACAAAGCATAGATGAATTGCACTTCAGGTGCACCTCGAGCAGGCCATTCCTTTGCTTTAAGCCAGAACCTTCCAAATAATGGGGGGTGCAGTATGTGATAGGAATCTTGGATCTTAGGTTATAGATTGCAAAATTGTTGATATAAATTGGTCCCTTAATTCAATTTAGTATTATTCATGATCATGTGTTGATAAATGAAACTTTCTGGATGGGCTTGTATCACACACTGGACCTTCTGCAGAGCCATTTGCTGTTATACTCACAACAAAAAGTTGGCCTTTTATGTCACATAGTATATAAGTTAAAATAGCTCCCATTGTGGAACACAGTAATTCCAGAACCCAAAGAAGCCTACCAGATTTGTTGTTGTTGTTGTTGTTGTTGTTTTCCTTTCTTATTGTGGAAGTTATAAGAGACAATAATTTGTCTATTGCTTTGGAAGAGTCTTAGTATATCTGTATACTAAGCCACTGGAAACATATTTTTAGTAGTGTAGGATACCCCTGAATCTTTGTAAGCTCTACCCTCCATTCTCTTACCAACACTTTTAACCTACTGGTCACTTCTTGCTGATTGGGAGAATTCAATCAATATCATTGGTATTGATTGTATTTCTCTTCATACCATTTTATGGCAGAGGAAAGAATAGGAGGACATAACCAGAAATGTATATTTTTTAGTATTCCATTCATATGAAAACAGTTTCTCTGTTAGTTCAGTTTTGCTGAGAATTAGTTTTGCAGATATGAAGAGCTAATTAGACAAAAAAGATTTAATGGGCATTCTGACAATGACACAGGTTTTATAACTGGGAAATGAAAAGAGGATAAAACAAGGTTTTATTGGAGGTTTATTGGAGGAGAATCAGATTGCAGTAAAGCTCTTGAGAAATTCTTGACCAAGTAAATGGAAAGCCCCAGAGGGAAGAGGGACCATTAGTGAAGTGCTACATTGGGCTAGAACAACCCAACTCTATTCCCTAGTCATGCTCATTCCTTGTCTCTGAGCAATCCAAGAAGAATGTAGTCTTGTCATGACCACTGCTGAATATCCAAACGTGTGGTATCTGGAGGGTATCTACCAACTACCCTGTTCACAATAGGTTCTCTTAAGAGTACATCTAAGCATTGCAACTCAATAGCTGCCAAAATCTACCCCTGGTTAAGTTTTTGATATCTATATGTATTGTTCTTCTGTATAAAGCATGAGGTTTCTGGATCAGAGATCAGAATTACAGCAATAACAACATCATTTTCCTCTATCTCCATCTCCCTGAGGCAATGCAGTGAGGGGAGTTGTCAGCTGCACATTCAGGGGTCTGTGCTACAGAAGAGGAAACCTGAAGTGATAAATCTGAAATCTTATGGAGAAGCTGCTGTGCAGCTGCCATCCTCCCCTCCCAAGAAAGGAAGAGAAACTTTATTTCCCTAATGTGAACAAATCTTCTCAGAGAGGGATCCCTGGATTTAGGCAATCCTTTGGAACGCAATCACATAGGTTGGGTCTTATTCTTATTTTAAATGTAAACACATAGTTCAGAAGAGATAACACTGTATAACTCTAGGAAGTATTTTACTCTTGGGGTTGCTATTCAGCCATCCATTAACCTAGATTGTCTGTATTTTTGTTGTTGTTGTTCTGACAGCCCTGAACATTTGGAAGCATGAAATTATCTTTGCTGTAATTTCATACTCCTGCACTGCACAAATACACTTCTGTGCACATATACAGGAAGCAACTTCTCTATGGCTCCTGTGGGTTTCTCTTCTTCAGTTCAAATTTAGAAGAGAGAGATTAGTGACATGCCCAGCTCTGCAGTTGTGTTTACTGCCGATATTGGTTCACGTCACCTTCTTCCTCCATTATTTATTTGAAAATTTCACTCTCAGCTTTCACTTTTGAAGGTTTTGGTTTCTTATATGGTGATGGGACTCAAACCCTCATTCCTGAGTGATCTGAGCCCTTGGTAGCCATGCTTTCTAAGGCCAGGAATAGTGTATTTATACATTTATAGTTGCAATTAGACAAAAATATATTAAGGGATGCTAAAGTAAATCACCTGGGTTGCATAACTATTCCTTCCTGCTCTCATTGTATAGAAGTATCCTTACTTTTTCTGCTTATTAGAATTAATCACCTTTACCAAGATAGTAACTCCTTTACTTATCTTCCAGTCCCTCAACACGAAATGTCTAGATTACTCAGGGGACAGTCAAAATTTGTAGTTCAATAGGATGCTTGCTATGTCATGGAATAATGCTCTTATGTAGTAGAAAATTATTTTCAGCCCAATCTTAAGTGCCACCACCCTTGATTCAGCATTTTCAGGATCTGGTCACACACATACCATCCTGTCTTCTACCAGTACTTGTTGACTAAGGTCTGCAACTCATTCACAGTATATTCTGTTCCTTTTTAACTTTGTCTAGCCCTTTCCATACCAGGTAGTGTTGTGAATTAATGCTTGTAGTAGGCTACATAATGGCCACTCAAAGATAGAGAGTCCTATTCCTTGTGGCATTAAAATGTTACTTTATCAGGCAAAAGGGTCCTTGCAGATGTGATTGTGTTAAGGATCTTGAGATGGGAAGATTATCTTGGATTACTGGGATGGGCCCTAAATACATTCCCATGCATCCTTATAAGAGAAAGACAGACAGACATTTAATATGAACAGAAGGAGGACGGGAAGGTAAAGACGGAAGTAGGGATTGAAGTGATAAGATCACAGACCAAGAAATGCTAGTAGCAACCAGAGCTCTGACAGCACATTGTTTCGGGTCCAGAGATAGGATTTCAAAATTTAACCTCCAGAACTGTGAGAAAATAAATTTCTGTTGTTTTAAGCCACCAAGTTTGTGCTAATTTATTAAAGAAGCCACAGGAAACTAATATAATACTAATCATTAAAACTGTGGCCAGAATGAGAGGTGGAATTAGATGATGAGGAAAGCACATGTTTTCTACAAGAAAGAGATCTCTGCATGTTTTTCGAGGAAGTGTTGAGTTTTATGCTCTAACACTAGAGATTGGGACATTCTGCAGATGCAACGTGCCAGGAGAACTTGTGATTTGATGACTTCTTAGTGCACCGACAAAGGGAACTCCTTACAAAATCTTGGAGTCCCAATCTTTCCTTTCAGGTCCCTGACCTTAGTGAGACATATTGCTAGGATTGAGAATACAACCTTACCTGAAGCTGCTTCTCTCATAATTAAGTCAGCCCAGATCCTGAGCGTTTTCTGTGTTCCAGCTGCACAAAATCAGAGTCCCTTTACAAGCTGCCAAGGAGGCCATCTGGCTTTCACGGTTAGGTTTTAATTAGAGATTAATCATCCTCAGTCTTTCTAAAGCATTAATTGAACTCAGCAACATCCATTGGATTCCATAAAGTTATTGTTACTAATTCCTATCTAACTCTCAAAACCCTGAGCCATTGCTCTTTCCAAGTACATTCCTTTTGACTGGTATTTAATCTCAGTTCAACAGCACTCAAAGTTCCATAATTACACCACTACCACTAACCATGGGGTTTTTATTAGTGATCCAACTACCACTAATGATAGGGTCTTTGCAGCCAACCAGCAGCAATCAACCCAACTCCAAACTCCCATTTTAGAGCTTGCTACTTTGGTTGACTCCTGGCTTCAACTGTTTATGGTCAGATTTCCCAGGAAACCAACTATGAGCACACACAGATTTACATACAGGACTTGTTTTTGTTTAGTTTTGGTTTCTGGTTTGGGGGGAGGCAGGTCCTCAAAGGATCTGAATTTGTGTGCTTTTTTTTTTTTTTTTCTTTGTTTTCCTGTCTCTTAAGAGCAGTAGTTAAGGCTCCCCTCACCGTCCCCTCTGCCCTTCTGCTCTGCCCTCCACAGCCCCTCTCTGAAGGACCCCTCCCCCCTTCTGCCAGTGGACAACCCAACCTGGATGCTGGTGTGAAGGCTGCTGGGAAGTGTAGTCCAAAGTCCTAAGGGGCCTGTTTTAGGGCCAGGAGCCCCTCCTCCAGCTTCGAGATTGGCTCAGACCTTATAAACCTAGAATTTATAGCGATGTGGGGTCCCTTCTCACTTGTTTCTGTAGTTAACCCTATCCCAGAACACTTTGTAAAACTGAAGAGGGTCCAGGGCTGTTCACTATTCCTCCTTCTTGTATGGACCCAAGCAGAGTGAGGTAATAGGATTGTGATTATGACATCACAGGCAGTTCAGTTGCTTGTATGGGGGAAATGGAATGGCACCATGGTGACAATTGGAGCACTTAAGATAGAGAAGGAGGAAAGAAACAGGCAGCTGGAGAAAAGACGTTGATGGCAATACTATATTCCTTTTCGAGAAGAGAAAATCACCTTTTAGTAAGTCTCTACCATTACCTCCCACCTCTGCCAAAGTTTTAAGTCCTTCATAAAAGCCTTGAAGGTAGATGTTAGTAGGTGAAGAGATTGGGGAGCAGCTGGATGTTTTCTAGCTCTTACGTAAATTTGAATCTCAGCCAGCGTTAAAGACAGTTCAGAGAGACCGGCAAAATGACAGAAAAAGGAGAGGTTTTAAATAATGCCTTCAAATTGTGGTCACTTTGTAGGGCAGAGTTTTAGATTTTCAATTTAGTAGTAGTAAAAGTCTTTATTACAGTTAGTTGCAAGTCCCCCAGAAACATCCGTTGTCTTAAACATTTTGTGTTCCACTGAAGTCTGTATAGGCAAATATTGACTATCAGCCAGAAAGTGGAGCCAGTGGTGGGAGTCTTCCTCACTGAGGGAAGGGAAGACACAGGAACCAGTAAGTGTGCTGCTCTGTCGGAGTGGTGGTTGGTCTGTTCAGGACTGGGAATTTTTTTTCTCTCTCTTATTCAACCTCTTTTTTATGGGTTTCAAAATTCTGTGACAGATTTTTGGTCAAGTTTTTTTTCATTTTAAAAGAATTAATTTTAAAAACTGGTAACTTAAAACTGCTGCTCTATGTCTCCTCTCTCTCTCTCTGTTTCTCTCTCTCTCTCTGTCGCTCTCGCTCTCTCTCTCACACACACACAAATGGTCCAGAAAACATTCTCTTTTCCTTCTGGAAGTTTTATAATGCATTATTTTTATTAATCAGGCTTTTACTATTAAGCTTAAATGGCCTATTGAAACAAACTCTCAAGCATTCTTTTGTCTGAGTAAAACTGAGGTGGCCAATGTTATGGATAATACTGACTTATCCTTCTTAGCTTTCTGGGTGGACTTGATGATCTTGCCAGTTCCATCAGCCTTCTTGTAAACACTTCAATGATACCCGCAGCAACTGTCTGTCTCATATTACGAACAGCAAAACAACCTAGAAGGGATATTCAGAGAAGTTCTCAACACACATGGCTTGCCAGGAATGCTATCAATTTCGGCAGAATCAGCAGATTTCAAGAATTTGAAGCCATTATCTGACTTCTTATAGGAATTGTGATCTCTTCTTTTTCGGTTCAACAAACTTGCAAGCAATGTGAGCCATGTAACAAAGCCAGCAATGATTTACACTGGATGGCTCAGGATAACAACCTGACCAATAAAACCAGCTACTTTCATTTGTGGGTCATTTTTGCTGTCACCAGCCGCATTCCTAAAACAAATACCTTTGACAGAAACATTATTAACATTGAAGCCCACTTTGTCCACAGGAAGAGATTCACTCAAAGATCATGATACATTTCGACAGTCTTTACATCAATTGTAACATAGAGTGGATCAAAAGTGACCCCGACATATTGGAAAATATGTCAGTGACCAAAAATGCCAGTCTGCACTAGGCCCACAGGGACAGCACCGATACCACCAATGGTGTAGACATCAGGCAGGGACAGATGCAAAGCCTTGTCAGTTGGTGGCAAGAGTCAACCAGAGAGAGAAGTAGACTGTTATTATTATCTCCTAAGCAGGTTTGTCTTGTATAGAGACCCATCAAGATCTTGGGGCTATTTTGTTGTTTCAACCAATTACATATTTTAATTGGCACATTTGTCTGAATGTTCAATGGTTTCAAGTTTTATCCACTGTGGATATGCTTCACTGAATCTATTTGCCGTGACCAGGAATTTCATTAAGAGTATATCTATAAAAATATTTATCTGTCTTTGATCTATTGAATCTCCTTGAAGCCGAGAACAAAAATGAGCAGTTCTAAAATTAATTTGGAGATTATACGTCTGTTTAATTAATCAGTTAAGGTTACTCTTGGTGTTTCTGTGAGAGTCACAAGCAAAAAGGCTATGGAAACCTTAATTTTTATACTATTGCATGTTGACTAAAGGATAAAGTTGGTGATCAGAGAATTTTGTAGCATTTGTATAACGGTCCAGGACAACCATCTTTGACAAAGTAGATTGAAATCTACCTTAGTTATAAATTATTTTATTCTAGATTAAACCAAATTTGTATGATATTAATTTGGCAAAATATAACAATGGAAAAAATTGATAGGCTAAAGATTTGGGGAAAATCCCCAAATAAAGCCACATAACTATATAAATTTGTAACTAATGAGAAACTTTGAATGGTGGGTACTGAAGTGATGGATAACAACTTAGAAATTGAAAAACTGGATCTTTGTCATTATTGGAATGAACCTGTGTCAGGGCTTTTCCTACAATTATGTCAATGATTCACTTATCTCCATGCCAACAAGAAAGCTTTAAATTTTATTTGTAATGTCTATCTGGCAGACTCTTCTTGGTTTTCTATAGGATAATCTTAGATTTTAAAGTTTCTTTATTTTTAATTCACATTTTGAATCACCTTGTCAAGTTTCATGAAATAATATATTGGAATTTTGATATTACATTGATCTTGTGTCTTTATTTACATAAATAAAGTACATCATTTTATATATGTTGGTTTCCTATTTTTAAATAAATTTTATATTTTGATCAAAATAGTGTTATCCTCTATTATATTAATTTTATGAACATACTTTATTTGCTGTTATATTTTAATTTTTCTTTTAACTACATAGGAAATTAATTTGTTTTAATGGACCTTATGAAAAGTAAACATATTTAACTTTTTGCCCTGTGGAAATACACATTTTTAATGGCTAATAATACAATTTGGAAAGTATATTTATTTTCTTCCTTTATAATACTTTGTATCTTTCTTATTTATATATTTACCTAATTATTTGTTATTGGTTTATTGTGTCAGCTAAGAATTCAAAAATGATAGTGATGACATGGTGTCATCGTGTGCATTCTGGTCCTTGAATTTGCTGTAAAAAATATGTATCAGGTTAAGAATGATTCTTTAATTTTGTATGAAGCACATTTAGTCTCAAATAGATCTTCCCTTTTTCAAATATTTTTATCAAATAACATATTATGCTAATGTGAATTGTTTTAATGTTTCATCAAATAAATTTAAGAATAAATTATATATTATAATTATATATTATATATAATTATATATTAATGGTTGTTATCAAATATTTTTTAATCTTTTGTTATAATTGAAGATTATATTAAGATGCTTGTTTTTGTATTTTTTCATTGAGATTGTATAAACATTGAGTTTCCCAAACTCTCATGAATCAGAAACTGCAGTCAGTATCAAGCTTAGCATATAAGCACAAGGTGAAATGTGGAGAGAACCAGTATGATTCCCTAGGTCTTTACTTCCCTAATTTGATGTGCACTGGCCCAGATTAAAAGTAAGGAGGGCAGTAATTACACCAGAACAGGAGCCAGGTCATGAAACATCTCTATTCTATATTCATATAGTTGCATGACTTACCTGACATTTTCCACAAAGGTATGCCTCATAAATTCATATATTCTGGCCTTATTTACCATGAGAAATCCTAGACAAATATGCACACCTTACTAAAAGCAAGCCATGAGTTTTCTTTTCCAGCAACCTTTCTCTGCTAAGAATAAAATGGTTGCAAATGTGCTATTATACACACAGTTAAATCCACATTCCAATTGTAAATTATCACATACAAAGTAAATGAAATACCAATGACACATTTTAATAATTATTTCATAAGTAAATTATCATGGAGTATGACCAGCACTCCTGAAGGTCTGATAAGCTCCTTTCTAATGAAAACCCTAGTAATCACCAGGAGGTACTCTCTAATTTAATTTTTATCATGGTGTACTCTCCTATTTTCTTTAAACAATTATTAGCTGGAATTGTCTTCCTAAATAATATACCTTTATCTTTCCTGATATTGAAATGTATTTTATGTATTGATATAAATTTATTTTTATAAAATAATTTATGATATAAAATACATTATTTTATATTGTTCTTCTAAATCATTATTATATTTTATATTACTTTAGGTTGTTACATGTATTTTTGTTTAGTTTATATCCATTTGAATTGTATTCCATTTTATAACCCTTCCAAAATTTAAACAATGTGAAATAGGCATTGTGTTATGTACTAGTTTGAGTTAGTATCAAACAACAACAACAAAAAAACCATTATATGTTATGCAGATGCACATATGAACAAGTTTTTCTAGAGAATATTTTAAAGTATGCAATTCTTGGATCACATTTATTAGAATATGCTAAAGTATTTCCAAAAAAGAAGCTTTCAAATCTATCCTGTCAGGGAGGTATGGGTGTTCTATTGCTCTATTTTTTTAAAAAACCAAGCAAATAACAACAACAATGACAACAACAAGAAAACACTGACTATTGCCATTCTTTTCTTTTTTAACTTTAATCATTCCAAGTTGTATAGTGGGATCATAGTGTATATTAATATAGATTTCTTTTATGATTAATGGTTTTGAGCACTTTATCTTATAATTACTGTCCATTTGGATATTTGCTTTTCTGATGGACCTATTCCAGTGTCTAATTCATTTTTCTATAACCCTTCCTTTCTTTCCTCCTTCCATCCTTTCTTCCTTCCTCTCTTCCTGCCTTCCTTCCTTTTAGTTTCTTTCTTTTACTACTGATTTGCTGAGTTCTTTAAGGATTCCGAATAGGAGCCCTTTTGTTACACATTTTACAAACATCTCTTGCATTATGAATTACATTTTCAATATCATAATGACTGTTTAAATCATAAAGATATAAACTTCTATTATCTTTTAGAAACATTGTTGAAGCTTCCATATTTAGATCTACAAAGTGACTTGGAACTGATTGGGGTTATGGTATTAGACAAGCATGAAGCTTCTTTTCTTTCCATATGGTTATAAACAAATAGCACGTAGTGGAAATGATGACATTTCCCCCACTTCCCTGAAGTGCCACCTTTGTCATAAATCATGTGCCCATGTGGGCATGTGTCTAGTTCTATGTTCTCTTCTTTGTTCCATTGGTCTATTTATCCTTGTACCAATATGCTGTGTGCTGTATTAATTATACTAGCTTTAAAATCACTTTTAATATCTGATACAGAAGTGCTTCTTAAAGTTAGTACATATACAATTCACCGGGAGTTTTTGTCAAATGAAGATTATGATTAAATATTTCAAAGGGAGAGTCTGAACTGCATTTCTAAAAAATAAGTAGGTGATGCTAATACTGCTGAATTATGGACCACACTTTGAAAAATAAGGAAATAAAGTAAGTACTTCAAAGATATTCTTTTTCTTTAAGATTGCATTAGTTCTTTGTGCTGTTTTACATTTCTATTTAAATATTATAATCAACTCATCAATATTTTACTACTACAAAAACAAGAGCTGCCATAGCAGCAGCAACAACAAAATCTTTTTATAAATTTTATTTGAATAAAATTACATCTATATATTAATTATGGGGAATTGAAGCTATAAAATACTGAGCTTTCCAATTAACACAATTCATACCTCCGATAATTTAGTTCAATTATTTTGCTAACAGTTTAGTCATTTTTATGTAACAATTTTGTGATTCATTAATTAATTTTTTCCTAGATTTTTTTTTATTTTAAATGACATCCTTAAATTTGAATTTCTGTTTGGTATGTTCTAAAGTATTTAATTTTTTATGTTGATTCCTCTGGTTTATCTAAAATGCTACCTACATGATTGAAACTATTAACTAAACTACTTAAAACAGTGTAACATTTTGTCCAGAGCATTTATTTTATTAGCTTATTTTATATTTATTCATAGATCAGAAAAAATTTTTCTCAATAATAAGGGCTCTATAGATAACAAATTACAGCTGTTAGTTTGTAGACCCTCCATTTAAACTTAAATTGTAGAGATTCTTTTCTTGTCTTTACTTACTTAGTTTATAAACTGAATACTAGTTACATTAATGTTTTAAAGGAAAAAATAAGTATTGAATCAATTAAATATTTGATTTGTCCTTGAATACTTGTACAGAAAGGTACTTTGTAATAACAGTTGAATATCAAATATATATTATTGTGAATCATTTTATTTTGATCAATGCAAAGATACCTATTTGCAAATGACAGCAACAGTGATGTTTAACAAATAGTTTTTAAAAGCTCATTTACTTTTGACTCATTTTGTGTTATGAATTGAAAATTGCTGTCATTGTAAAAGTTGCATTTGAAAACAAGCTTCCATCAACTTTTATTAGAAATCTTTGGATAATAAGTGAGTTTTGAG